TCTGGCTCCCTACCCCCCCCCCCGAGCGAGAGAAAGGAGGGGCTCCCGATGCCTCCTTTTCAGTCCAGGGCTGCCCGCCAACTGATGGATCGGACCCAGTCCTCCACCTTGGAGGGCCGCCTGGAGGCCATGAAGGAACTGGCCAAGCTCTCGGCAGACGTCACGTTCGCCACCGAGTTCATCAACATGGATGGCATTGCGGTGCTGACCCGGCTGGTGGAAGGCAGCTCCAAGCTCCTCTCTCAGTAAGTGCCCGGCTGCTCTTCCCCTCCCCCCACCCCACGGCCTTTACAGACACTCCCAGCATTTCAGAGGATTGAGCCTCCGGTTGCTCCCAGGCCTCACTGCTGTCGAGGAGCGGCTCTCCAGGGGATGCCAGGAGGGGCACGGAGGCAGTCAAGCCCGCTTAGTGCTTTCCCGTGGGGGAAAGGGTGGCAACAGGGTCCTAAGGCTTCTTCCTTTCCTAGAAGGCCCAGGAAAAGGTGAGAGAAGACGGGTGCCACCTAGTGGCCCCTGAGGCACCCGCTACCTTTAGCCAGCACTGCAGTCCGTGGAGGGTGAGCTCAGGGGCAGCTAGAGGAGCCCCCGAGGCTTCCATGGCCGAACTCACCAGCCTCCGCCAGGGCCCAGGTCCGCAGGAGCCCCCAGGCAGCAGGGTGACCTCCTCCTTGGCCCATTGTGGCTGGCGAGAGCGGGGCCAACGGGGCCGTGTCAGAGAAGAGCCGGAGGGGTTGAGGGAGGCTGAGAAAGAGCCGAGCAGCAGCCTGAAGACAGGCTGGTGGTTTGTGCCTCCCCCTCCAGCTACGGAGAGATGCTGGCCTTCTCCCTGACCGCCTTCTTGGAGCTCATGGACCACGGCCTCGTCTCCTGGGACACCGTCTCCATCGGCTTCATCAAGCAGGTGCCGCCCGCTGGGGGGAGAGAGAAGAGAGCAGGGGTGTCCTGGGGAAGCGGGCTGGTGCTGACGGGGAGCTTGCTCTGCCGGCAGATCGCAGGGTATGTGAGCCAGCCGACGGTGGACGTCTCCATCCTGCAGCGCTCCCTGGCCATCCTGGAGAGCATGGTGCTGAACAGCCAGGCCCTTTATCAGAAGATCGCGGAGGAGATCACGGTGGGGCAGCTCCTCTCCCACCTCCAAGTGTGAGTCCCCCAGGGCTCGGGGCTCCCCCCTGTCCGCCCCCTGGCAGGGCGGAAGAGCTGGACCGGTTCTCTCTCTGCGTCTCCCTGCAGCTCCAACCAGGAGATCCAGACGTACGCGGTAGCCTTGATCAACGCCCTCTTCCTGAAGGCTCCCGAGGACAAGAGGCAGGTCAGTGGCCGGCAGAAACCGGGGAGAGGGACGGCGGAGGCAGGCTTTGCTCTCTTCCCCTGGGGTGGGGTGGGGGTGGGACGCAGGTTAGCCTGGGCGTGCTTCCCCTCCCGTGAAAGGCTGTGTCCCCCTCCGCCTTAACCCCACCCCACCCCTCTGCTGACTCAATCATCAGCTGTTTCTGCCCCCAGGAGCCGCTGGCCAGCCCCCTGGACCTGCCCTGCACCGTAAGTCGATCCCTGTGCCAGGGAAGGGACGCCTGGCTGGCTCCGGATGTTCCCTTTCAGGGTGTTTGGGTGCACGGAAGGCATTGGAGGAACCGGGGGGGGGGGCGCGCCCGTGGCGCCCCCCCCCCCCCCCCCCCCCCCCCC